CTTCATCAAAGAAAAAATACAAATAGCCAAAAGGCACATGAAAAAATGCTTTACAGTGCTAATCATCAGGGAGATGCAAATCAAAACAACAATAACATCTTACACCACAGAGACTGGCAGACATCCAAAAGAACAAGCAAAACCAGTGCTGGCATGGATGTGAAGAGAAAGGGACTCTCATTCATTATTAGTGGGAATGCCAACTGGTCAATTCTTTTTGGAAAACAACATGGGCATTCCTCATAAAACTAGAAATTAAGCTTTCATCCGACCCAGCAATACCACTTCTGGGAATATATCCGAGGGGTCCAAGAACACACAGCAGAAACACCAATGCTCTCTTATGTTCATTGCAGCACTATTCACAATATTTTGGCTATTCACAATAGCCAGAATCTGGAAACATCCCGAGTGCCCAAGAATAGACGACTAGATAAAGAAACTATGGAACATGTACACAACAGAATACTATACAGGTGCTACGAACAATGAAGTCATGAAATTTGCTTACAAATGGATGGACACATGAAGAGTATCATGCTGAGTGAAATGAGTCAGAAGCAGAAGGACAGACATAGAACATTTTCACTCATTTGTGGCACATTAAAAAAATATATAGGGGGTACAGAGGCGCCAGGAGGTCACCTGTATCTGTGGGGCGAGTGCATCAGCAGCCTGATGGTGCCTTCACGCTTCCAGATACCCCAAAATTGCTGCTGTGCCTTTGGCCAGACCCCAACAACTTGGGGCCAAGTTCATCCAGAAATTAAATGGCCAAAAGTTAGGTATGAGGGGGATACACTCACAAATCACCTCCAGCTCAGCTATATAAGCTCATTTATGGGCCTTATTTCAGAGACCCATAAATCTCGAAAGAGAGCAAAAGATGCAGTTAGGGAGTGTAGCACAGAGGCAGGCGGGAACCTGTGACTGAGAGCTCCAGGCCCACTTGGATTGGGACTGGGCCTCCTCTCCCAGATACCCACTTTTCCAAACGGGAGTCATACTGAAAAACTGCTCCCCCCCCCCCCCGCTGCACCACGTAAGCTCGTCAATGGCCAAGACCCAGGGACTATAAACTAAAACTCCCGAAAAGAGCGCCACAAAATGACCTGACCTGGCACTAGGCTGAATTCACCGGGGCGCTCCAGAGCAGGGCGGGTGAGAGCTCTCCCTGCCCCAAGAGGCCCAGGCCCAGCAGCCAAAAACCTTCACAACCTGATCGCCGCTCAAGGCCACTACTCCCCATGCGCTCGGGTCAAGCCTCACACAGGAGAGAAATCCTATAGAATCCTGGTAATGCAGAACTTTGTGATCTTGGTCTCTGGGCTCAACGGGACCAGGGACCAGGGACCAGGAGCGGAGATCCTCTGACCGCTTTCCCCAGTCTCTGGTGACCCAGGGGTCACACCCATTAGCCACCTTCAGCCGGCGCCTGATAATCTTGCCATCAGCCACCGTCCAAATCACACGGCTGCTTCTCCCGAAAGGGAGCATAACACGAGGCCCCATAACCATGCCACTGGACTCTGTGTCAGGCTGTTTCACACAGGGGACCCCAGAGGGGGGCAGGTGAGAGCCCTCCCCACCCCAAGGGACCCAGCCCCAGCAGCCAAAATCCTCCACAGCCCAACCTCCGCCATGCTCAAGGCCGCTCCCCACGTGCTCGGGTAGAGCCTCATATATGAGTGAACATATTCCTGGACACATCATAGAACACTCCCTATCCATTCTCCATAATTACCACAATTGATGGGGTTCAGATAATAGGCAAAAAATCACAGAGGGAAATATATATATATGCACATACACACATTTTCAGATATATATACCAAAGCTCACATCACCCAGACTTTAACATGTTAGTGATACCCTATAGAATGTCTTAATGGCTCCTGCCAAAATAGAACAATCTTTACACTGTTTCCTATATGAACACTATTATGTAAGGATGTTCAGCAGTTCTTCCTAACAGACAATACAAAATATATTATTTCAGTTGTGTTTTGGGACAGGGATTGGGGTTTGGGATAGAAACACCCCAAATTTGGTGGTGGGAAGGTGTAATGGTGGTGGGATTGGTGTTTGAATATTGAGTGTAATCAAACACTGGGAACTAATTTATAAAATTATAAAATTTTAAAAGAAAGTAATGTGGAGTTCATGCCCAATTCAATCAGCTTAATCAATGGCTGAATATATAGCAGTGCTCCTACATTATACATATATGTATATATCGGCCAGAGTGATAGCACAGCAAGTAGGGCGTTTGCCTTGCATGCGGCTGACCTGGGTTCAATCCCCAGCATCCCATATGGTCCCCCAAGCACCGCCAGGAATAATTTCTTAGTGCAAAGCCAGAAGAAACCCCTGAGTGTTGCTGTGATCCAAAAAGCTAAATAAATAAATGCATATATATATATATATATATATACACATACATATATATTCCAAGACTAATACCCAAGGACACTAGAAACAAGGGCCAGGAGAATGGTCCACAGTTGGAAGCCTACCTCATGTCACTGGGGACAGAAAGCAGTTGAGATAGAGAAGGGACCACTATAACAATGAAAGTTGGAAATGATCACTCTGGGTAAGAACTACATGCTAAAATTAAACTGATATACATAATATCTCGCTACCTGTACTGCAAACCATAATGCCCAAAATTAAAGAGAGAGAGGGAAGGGGGTAGGAGGGGGAAAGAGAGAGAGAGAGAGACAGAGAGAGAGAGAGATGCCATAGAGGCACGCTGGGGGGAAAAGAAGGGTGGTGGGAGGGAAGCTGGGGACATTGTTAGTGGGAGATGTACCCTGTTGGAGGGATGGGTTTTGGGACACTGTAAGACTGAAACCCAATCACCAATAGCTTTGTAACTGTGTATCTCATGGTGATTCAATTAAAATACTAAGAATGATAATAAAGAAGCAGATGTGAGGTGTTACATCCCCTGGTTATAATTCATATCATAAAGCTACAGAAATCAAAATTGTGTGATAATTGGAACAAAGAGTCTCAGAACAACTGAACAGGATTGAGAACCCAGACATAAATTCTCAGAAGTAGGAACAGTGAATCTAGGCCGAGCATTGCATTTGATGCCTTTTTTGGCATCAAATTGGGCAAATGTGAATAAAAAAGACGTAACTTCTATCTTCAAGGTACTTAATGTCCGATGGAAGAAACAAAACCAAGCAAGGAATTACAGAAGGTGACAAATGAATAAAAAATGATGTATTCTGTAAGTTGTAGTATGGGATGGAGGATGAAAGTTGCAATTATTCTTAGATAGGTTGGTGCTAAGGTTTGGAATGGTCTAGGCCCTAATCATCAGGAAGTGGGACATGAGGGGGATAAGCGACAAGGTATTCCAGGAGACATCATAACAAGTCCAGAATAAAGGGCCTTTCGCGAACCAGAGGTAGGAGTTTGGATTTTGAAGTGACTCTGGTTTAGTTTTTGGCCATGCAGGCTTTGCATGGGGCTTCTCTGGGCTTGGTGAGTCAGAGACCATGTGGTAACTGGGATTTAACCCAGGTCTCAAATGCTCCAGCTCTCTGAGGTATTCCCTGGCCTCGTATTCTAAATTTTAAGAAAATAGAATTTATTTAAGGAAAGCATTGTCACTTTTTACTACTGAATAAAAGGACTGAGAGGGCACAACACAAAAACATACATGATCTAAAAATATAGTAGTGGTTTAGGTGAGAGATACAATTTGGACAAGGATGTGAGATAGAAGGAAGAAAGAGGTAATGACATGCAGAACTGACCTAAATGACAAGGAAGTGCAAGATTTGGGGGAATTTTCATTGGAGAAAGGAAAAAAGGGTTTATTGGGGAGATAGCAGATCAGAAGGGCTCAGGCCGATGCTCAGTAATTAACTGTTGAATCGAGAAGTTTCAACTATTTTCATTTTACATATTGTCATAAATCTTTCCAGGACTTTTCACAGAAACGTTCAGTGACAGAAGTGAAGATGTAAATAGGGTAACCAAATAATTTCATTTTGCCGGAAGGGTAAAAGGGGAGACAAGAAAATAGTGCTGGGCTGGAGTGATAGCACAGCGGGTAGGGCCTTTGCCTTGCACACGGCCGAGCCGGGTTCGATTCCCAGCATCCCATATGGACCCCTGAGCACCGCCAGGAGTGATCCTGAGTGCAGAACCAGGAGTAACCCCTGTGCATCTCCGGGTGTGACCCAAAAAGAAAAAAAAACTGTGCCCTTTCAAGGGAGAGATTATAGGGATAACACCGATCGTGCACACTACACTGGACACCATGATACAAATGGACAGAAAAGGAAAGAACCACTGGATTGAAGTTATCAATGAATCTCAAAGTATCAAAGTATCTCAGTGGGACATACAGGCAAGTGAATTATAAAGGCAGGGGAATGTGCTGATAGTGGGAAGTTATCTTTTTTTTTTTTTTTTTTGCTTAAATTGGACCATCTCTCCCGCTAGGAAGAGGTTAACCATTTCAATTCAACTCTCCGTGCTTCCCTGGAGCATCGTTTTCCGGTACCACGCCCGCCCCCAGCCCCACCTCCTGGGCTGTCGCCTTCCTGAATCACAAAGGACCGCCCCGGGTTATTCCCTCCGTGAAGACCTGCATCCCCCACTCGGACCTCCCCTCCTGTGGCCCTGTCGGGCCGCGTCATTCCCCTGACCAGGGCAGCGCTCCAAGCTCCCGGCGGTCGTGAAGGAAACCAGAGGCTCCAGCTCTCAGAGACAGGCATCGAGGCCGGGCCCCCATGCTCAGGAGCCGAACTGGAGGGCGCCGCGAACCCGCCAGCCCAGGGCGGCGGCAGGACGCTGTCCCGCGGCGACGTCCACGGAACTGCACCCCCGCCCGAGAGGAGCCGCCCGCGCCGGGAAACGGGCCCTTTCCGGGCCGCAGCGCGCAGGGCCGGGGCGAGGGGCCGGCCGGGCGGCCCCGGAGCGCGCGGGCACAGCCGCAGAGGGCCGCGGGCCCAGGCCTGGCGCCCGCCTACCTTCCTCCTCCCCCGGCGCAGTCTCCCCGACGGCCTCTGCCATCGCTCCTGCAGGGCAGGGCCTCGCCCGCAGCCCCAACGCGCAGCGAGCAGAGTCGAGCTCGGAGCTCGGAGCAAACACCCGCTCGAGACCCAAGTCCCGGCAAGGCGGCGGGGTTGCCGCACGCACTTCCGGGTGCGCGGTCACGCGGCGGTCACGTGACGCGGGCGGGCGGGGCCTGGCCGGGTCTGTCTTGGTCCCGGGCAGAGGCGAGGTCGGCGTCTGGCCTGGGAGTCTCAGGCTCCAGCCTTCTGTTTGTTTATTCGAGGGGGCGGGCGGCCCTCCCACCTGTACTCTGGGGGCCTCCAGCCGGCCAGCGGCTCAGCGCCAGGACTCCCGGGCTCTGATGCTCCCGCCGGCAGGACCGCACTCAGGGGTGCTGGAGGCCTCCGGGCTGCACGCAGTGCTCCGGCCACGTGTGGCGGGTCATAGCGGATGGGCGCCGGTACTGTCTCCCCGGCCCAAGGCGTTTGCTCTCGGCCCGGCGGTTTCCTCCCCGCAGCAGTTTTGCGTGTTCAACTCGAGGCAGAGAAAAGTGGCCTCTGCGTTTGCTTCCTCGGCGGTGGCTCTCTGCGGCCTCTGGTGTCGGGGTTCCGCTTCCCGCTTCCATCCACCTTCTTGCCCTTTGGGCAGCAACCTGACTCCTGGTTCGCGGCTGCCGGGAATACGAGCCTCGAACAAATGGCCTTTCATTGCGTTCCCGTGACTCATTTCCCAATCGTTCCTCAATCTCGGCAAGCCAAATAGCTTGACTCGGATTGTTCAAGGACATTAACTGGCAGCTGTCAGGTATCAAAATAAACAACCGGCGGCAGAATCAACTACTCCCAACCTAGTTCACCCGTCGTCTGCTCAAAATCCTCCCGCCCTGGAGGCGGATCTAGGTTCTTTTGAGTGAGAAATCTTCCAGGCCTAACACCTCTATAGCTCGACTATCAAGTGGCAGGCCAATGGACAGAAGGCCAACATAGCTGGCGAAGATACAACTCGAACTGGCTAGTTTAGAATTTCACTGGATAGGTAAAACAAACTAAAAACAGCTGACGAAACCAGGCCGTGCTTTCTGCTGTCGTTTTCGTCTGGGCGCCCCCGCCGGCGACGTTCGGGGCACTGAAGGCGATGCTCCAGGAACAACGCGTAGTGCTGGACCACACCCGGGCTGACCGCGTGCAAGGCAAGCGCGTTACCCGCGGTACGATCTCGCTGGCCCCTGAGCAGCACCTACTGCGCCAAGATCCAAACAAATCGCCACCCCGCGCAGTCCTCTGGGTCTCCCCCACGCAGCTCGCGCTGTGCCCTCCGAGCTTCCCGAGCAGATGAGTCTGGGGCCAACGGAGACGCGGGCACAGCTTGCGCGCCCCGGCTGCCTACGTAGCCGTTCGCCGGCCGCCGAGAGACGCTCGGGACGGGCGCTCCTTCCAGCGGGCCCGGGCCAAGCCCCCGCCGCGGCTGCTCGGGGCGTTCCCTTCGAACCGCGCCCCCGCCTCTGCAGCAGCGCCGCCCCCGCTCCCGGGCCGCCCGCCCCGCCCCGTCCCTCCGGCTGGTCCGCGGCGCAGGCGCAGGGCGGGGAGCGGCGCGGCCCGGCCTGGAGCGGGGCCGCAGCAGGACGGCTGTGCCAACCCCGGCCGCGCAGCGATGGGCTCGGGCTGGAGCGGCGAGGACGAGCGGCAGCCGCTGCTGGGCCCGGCGCCGCCCGCGGCCGGCACCCCGGGCCCCGGGCGGGTGTACGCGCGGCGCTGGCTGGTGCTGCTGCTCTTCTCGCTGCTGGGCTTCGCGCAGGGCCTGGTGTGGAACACCTGGGGCCCCATCCAGAACTCGGCCTGCCAGGCCTACGGCTTCTCGAGCTGGGACATCGCGCTGCTGGTGCTCTGGGGGCCCATCGGCTTCCTGCCCTGCTTCGCCTTCATGTGGCTGCTGGACAAGCGAGGTGAGCGGCGGGCGGGCCGGGCGGGGCGGGCGGGGCGCGGGCACCGGCCGCTTCCAGCGGGGCGCGTTACGCAACGGCTGGCCGGGCCGGCGCCAGGTGCGTCCGTGTCGGGGGCGACCGGGTGTCCACTCTGCACGTGCCGCCGGTCGCTCGCGCTCGCCCGAGGCTCCGGCGTCCTCGGGGCAGGCGTGGACGGCGAAGGTCAGAACGTAGACCGCGGTGGCCCCGGCAGAAGGAAGCGGTGACTTGCCCTGGACGCGCGAGGTCTGCGCTGCGCTGGTCGGAGGACGTCGTGGCTCGCAGATCAGACTCGCGGATGAATGAAGCCTCTTCCCGGGGCGCTTGAGACCGTCGTCTCGCTTTCCCACTTACCGGAGGAAATCGTGGGATTAAATGATAAGGCGTTGAATTGCACCACATCGCCATGAGTGATGAGTTCGTGTGATTTCAGTGGCCGCGAAGGGGGGCGGTTTTAGGCATATTCGGATAGGATCAAAGCACGAAAAATGGCTCGATGTGAGGCTGGTTTGGGGTTGTAGTTTGGTTTGGTTCTTGGGGCCTCACCCCACGGTGCGCAAGACTTCCCGCTCTGCACTTGGGGATCACCCCTGGTGGCGCTCAGGACTGATGCTGGGGACCAAGTCCTGGTTAGCATCTTGCCTTCCCCACTGTACTGTTTCTAAAGAAACAGTAGAAACAGTAGAAAGAGTGTTGCCAGGTTAGATCCACTTCACCCAGTAACTACGGTCCAGTACTGAGCACTAATATTAAGATGGCTGGAGCCAGGGTTGTGAGCTTCTCAACTTGGACTCTGTCCTTCCTTTCTTCAGCTTTATGGGCACCCTGGGCTTTTTCCCCTCTGGAGAAACCCACATTTCCTCTTGAATGTGTCTTTCTCTACCTCCTCATATTTTCCAAAATAAAGCGGTCTTACTTTCTTAAAAGAAAAAAAAAACTGACAAGTTAAAATACTAAAAACCTGCGAATATCAAAGGTCATAAAGAAATCTCAGATGAAGGGAACTGGATGTATCAATCATCCAAATGAAGCTTGAGACACAATGTAAGAGATGTACAGTCAAGCAAAAGAGGAATTAGATGTATTGTGTGTGGTTCCCCAAGAGCAGATGTGACCCAAGCGATGAGAAGATGGAAGTCACTCGTCCAAGGAGGACTCTCTAAGCTGGAGAGGTTCTCAGTGCTGGAGAGTGTTGCAGGAGAGACTCACGAGTAGAGGCATGCCCCTGCCTGCGGGGTATGTGCCGGGCGCTGAGAAAGGGTTCTTGGACAGCTGAAGGTATCTCTGAGTTTTTGTCCTTTCTTTGCTCTTTTTTTAATTTTATTTTTATAAAGTAGTTCACAATATTTGATTACACTTAATATTCGAGCACCAATCCCACCACCATTACACCTTCCCACCACCATATTTCTCGATGTTGCCATCCCAAACCCCAACACCTGCTCCAAAGCAGAACCAAACTAATTTATTTTGTATTGTTTGTTTTAAAGGTAAAGGCCCTCCCGTTGATCATCGATTTGCTCGAGCGGGCCCAGTAACGTCTCCATTGGAGACTTTGTTGTTACTGTGTCTGGCATATCGAATACGTCACGGGGAGCTTGCCAGGCTCTGCCGTGCGGGCGAGATACTCTCGGTAGCTTGCCGGGCTCTCCGAGAGGGCGGAGGAATCGAACTCGGGTCGGCCATGTTGGCTGCGTGCAAGGCAAACGCCCTACCGCTGTGCTATCACTCCATGGAGACGTTACTGGGCCCGCTCGAGCAAATCGACGATCAACGGGAGGGCCTTTACCTTTACCTATTGTTTGTTAGGAATAAACCACTGAAAATCATTTTTAAAAAGTTTCCTTAGAGGAAATTGTGTGAAGATTGTTGCATTACAACCAGGGCCATTAAGACCTCCTATAAGAGATTACTAACATGTTGTTAAAGTTTGAGCCTATATGTACAATTATATTTCCCTCTAAGATTGGCTGCCTTCTACTTTAAACCCCATCAAATGTGGTACGCTGCTCTTGGAGTATGAGTGGTATGAGGTATGAGATGTCGAGGAACAGGTTCACTCATGGATGAAGCTCGGCCCAACCGTGTGGAGAGTGGCCGTGAGCGTGGCAGCGATTGGATCTGGAGGTTTTGACTTTTGTTTGCTCTTAAACTAAATTAGACCCTTATTTTATTTTTGCACAGCAAAATACTTACATGAGAAGAAAGATTAGGGCAGGGGTTCTTCTGAAAAGTTGAAGGTGCCTCATAAAGTAAAACAAAGGAATTACATGTGGGCTCCCGATAAGGCTTCACATAAGATAAATGTGGGCTACCCCCAGAATGGAGAATATGCTTAGTTGCTTTATTTTAATTTAACACTTGTTTTGCTGTTATCTTTCCCTCCCATTTGTGTAAAATCTTATCACGCCGAAGGTTGTGTGTTCACAGGCTCACTGGATGGCACTGTCTCACCGCCCACGTTTGGTGCTCTTGAGCCACTGTGTGTGGCCTGGATCGGAACAACTGTTGGCCAAGGGCAGACAGAAGAAGAAACAAGGGCCAGGCCGGTCTATATCAATAGTAGTTTATTCCAGTCCTCTTCACTCCTGTCTTTCTCTGCCTCCTTCTCTCCTGGGCCCCAATCTGGAACCTCTCTTTCTGGCTCTGACTCTGGATCTCTGGAGCCCGAGCTCTCTTGCTTCTGACTCTCCTCTCCCCGAGCTTACAGTCTTAGTTTATATAGCAGTCACATAAGGCGGTGACATAAAGGTGGGTTGAATATTGACAAATCAACAAAGAGAGGTAAGACCACTCCTCCAGGAGATTAACTCAAGGATAAAATCTCATCTACAGAGATTACTCCAGATTACTAGGAGATCCGCTCAAGGGTGGGATCTCAACAAGGGTGTGTTCTTCCCTCAGTTATTAATCTACTTAAATAGTTGTGATAAATCTACTTATATTATTTCTAGCAATGTCATTCTGTATGAGCACAGTAAGAGATAGAAACTTAGTTTGGTTCTCACTATACATTCCGCAGTCCTCAGGCCAGGTTAATCTTCCTAGCTCCAGCAGGTCCTAGTCTCGTTGTTACTTACTTTTGGATCATGACAGCATTTGTCCGTGATCATGCCCTCAACTTATAGTTGAGTATCGTGGCTCATTGGCCTGGCCCATTTCGATGCCAGGGTAGCTCACAGCTTGCCCTGGGTCCATTCAGTCCCTCGCTGGGACCCTGCTTTTGGGGTGCTAATAACTAAGGGCAATTGAGTCAAGAAATCAGATGCCCAGGAGTAAATATTATTTGGAGTCAATCAACTCCCAAGTTACAAAGCATAATATTAACTGTCTTCCTGTGTCCACACAGAAAGGACATTGCTTACAATACAAGTTCAGTGTCCTTGGATGGGTGTGACCTGATAAATTTAAGCTACCTGAGGAAGGGCAAAAGAGTGTTATCCTACACATTTGAACATTCAGTCTAAGGGTCCCAAGGTCCGTTTGGTTGTGATTTCTTATTAATCCCCTTCAATTCGCAGTTCCACAGTCATTTTTTCCCCTCAATTGACTAAATTTAAGGGACAATGCTCTTTTGTTGTTCTTTTTATTTTTTTTTAATTAGAAGCATTTTTCAGTACTTTTAAAGTCCAGTCAGCCCAGTTTTGTTTATTTTTGTATTATAGGGCTTCTCCCGGAGTGTGGGTTCAGCACTCTGCTGGCCGGCCATGCAATGCTGCAAGGCCTGGCCGTGCTGGGCCACTCAAGCGATGCCCAGGGCCACCAACACCTCATGGGCCAGCTTAGGCAACCAATTGAGCTCAGGCTTTCGTGCATGCAAGGCCTGTGATTACAGTCCTTTGAGTGATTTCTCCCAGACCCCCAACCTTTTTTTCATGGTAGATAATGCAGAGAATGCTTAAGTGTTTTATAAAATAGGAGTTCCTATGACTGTGGAGAATTCAATTTTGTATTTTTCATTTATTGAAGCAACAGCAACAAAATTTAATTTTCCCTTTTAGTCATTGTAAATTTTTTAGATTATCTTTTAGTTCGGGCTGGAGCGATAGCACAGCAGGTAGGGCATTTGTCTTGCTCGTGTCCGACCCGGGTTCAATTCCTCCATCCCTCTTGGAGAGCCCGGCAAGCTACCGAGAGTTTCTCGCCCACATGGCAGAGCCTGGCAAGCTCCCCGCGGCATATTCGATATGCCAAAAACAGTAACAAGTCTCACAATGGAGACGTCGCTGGTGCCCGCTCGAGCAAATGGATGAACAGCGGGAGGACAGTGCTACAGTGCTACAGTCTTTTAGTTCCCAGCTTTCCTGGGAACTAAAGAACTTTACTCCTTAGTTGGCAATTGTCTGACCTTCCTGCTGCCATGAGGCCCGGCCAGCTCAGTATAGACATTTTTTCCCCTCAAATGGGCCTTTTATGCAAGTAGATGCATTTAGAAATGAATGAGATGGTTGGAAGTCCAAAGCGAGGACACCTTAGAAGCCAAGTGAAGAAAGGTACAAGGAGAAAGAGCATCTACTGTGTGGTAAGCACTGGCAGTTTGCCTCATAGAGTCAGCATCCTGTTGAGTATATACAGGCAGCCAGCACACAGTCAGATGCAGTGTATTTCAGATGTCACATGGCCATAAATGTTTTGGAGAAAGGACAAAGCAGGGCAGGGAGGCATAGGAGATATAATGGCGGGTATTTATATTAAATAGGTTACCTGTGGAGGCCTCACATAAATATGTTTGAGCAGCCGCCTAAAGGGGAAGTAAGGAAGCCCATCTTGTCAGTGTTGGGCAAGACTGTACTAGCAAAGACAAAGATCCTAAACTTGTTTGGCACATCTAAGGAGAGCCGTGTATGGGCCTGGAAGAGAGCCATGAGGGAAGCAGACCTAGGGGCTGAGTTGGTGGTTCAGGCTGAATCATGCAGGCCTCTTTGAATGGGAACCAGTAAGGAATTGGCCAATATTGAAAGAGAACGAGTTGTAAGAGTAAA